TTAATATCATAAATGTTTTTGTTTGTTTTTGTTTGTTTGTAGCTATGTTCTTGGATTGCATGGGCTGAATTGTCCTGTAGGATCTCCTCAGGCAAGTTAAGAAATGGTCAACTGGAGTACAGAATGAAACATTCAATTTATATTTCAATTTGTTTGCAATCAATAGATACCTCAGAATACAGCATTGGAAGGCCTTGGGGAAGGTTTAGCTCAGGCTTGGGAATTCTATGGATCACAAAGGTTATTTTAGTTTTCAAAATATTATACTTATTAGCATATTTGATTGACATTGTCATTGTCCTTGTTATTGTTGTCATTATTGTGCATTGTTTTTTTGATATTACTGTAGTCTGTGTKTATGTGGTTCATGTTCACCAAATATTTTCAAATTAATAATACAAAGAGAAAATMATTCATTGTTGAGGCAATAGAATTCAGATTTAATCTTCTTTGTATCAATCTCCTTAAACATAAACATTTTGTCAAGGTTCCAATTATTGTCAGATAGGGTTCTTGTCATTATTTTGCCAAGYTATTATTATTTTTTACTAGCTCTAAATCCATAACTTGTTATWAATTACATTTTATTCTTTGCTGGACAGTGCTGTGGTTCTTATGGTTAAATCTGAAGATGAATCTAATACATTTGACCAGAAAAATCTTGAATATTATCTCCATCACAGGTAAACTAGTTTAACAAATATATTGTTTATGATTGAAAACCAGTAATACCAGTTTTAATTGTCAGGTAAATTTCAATAACAACTCATAGCTACAACTTAGCAGCTACCAAATCCATGTTTTTTTGTGTGTGTGTGTGAGTAAGAGATGAGTCAGCATGTGTCATTTTTCATGTTTGGAAATATTTAACCTTTTGTATTTCTATTCCAAGAAATCCTTCAATAAAGATGATTTTTCATTCACTCACTGTRTTGTCAAAGATTGCCAGCCTGGACAACAAAACATTGATGGTGTAAGTTCAAATTTAGTGAGACAACAGTATCAGGATAGAAGTGATGTATTTTTAATGTTTTCTAGTGGTGGAGAAGARGTTGCAGTTGCATATTTTAGATCAGGATATACTCCAAGCTGCTATCCTTCTGAGGATGT